GCCGTGCAGTGAGATGAGATTATAAAGAAAAATGCGGTTGAACGAAAATCTCAAGTGCTTACAAGTGAGCATCTATGATAAGTGATGCAGCGCCATCTACCGAACGCGGGAATCACCTGTATTTATAAATGATAAATCGTAAAATCACTGTAACAACGTAATCAAAAAGATTACCAACTGACCCATAATATGTCGTCTACAAATGATTTAAAAGCAGGTGAGGCCATATAGATTAAATTTGACTCCGACTCTGAGTCTGAACTTAAGTTATACTGGTACTAGTGCTAGAAAGTATTTATATTTATAAGGCTAACCTATGCCATGGCTATACTGCCTAACCCTTCATAGGCATAGCCACAGGCACAGGCACTTGGAACGTCTCAATAAAACAAAATAATGGTAAATAAACACGAAATGTACCAAAGTCTTAATGTTTCTGTACTCTATTTCGCCTATAATCACCTGTAAATGCCAGTCAAATGCTCATCTGCAACACGCAAGTACACTGCACGCCCGCGCTGTGCACAAACAACATAAATAAGACTAAGACTAAGAGTAAGAGTAATACTATATAGAGCTCTCTTATTCATGTTGTTTGTGCACAGCGCGGTGTGCACATGCGGTGTACTTGCGTGTTGCAGATGAGCATTTGACTGGCATTTACAGGTGATTATAGGCGAAATAGAGTAGAGAAACCTTAAGACTGGTACATTTCGTGTTTATTTACCATTAATTTTTTTTATTGAGACGTTCCAAGTGCCTGTGTTCATAGCCATGCATCGACATAATCATAATGCTGTGTGTGGCTATACAGTAAATACAGTACTACTACTAGTACTACTACTAGTACTAGTAGTATAGCCCGCGTACAGTTGCGCCTGCGGCAGTAATTCTGTATAGTAATGCTAATTCATTTAGTAATGCTGATATAGGGTCTATGTCCCCCAGGCCAGGGTACTATCGGAGCTAGGGTACCCTGGGTACGGTTCGATATATCGGAAAGTACCTCGTGAGACTATACGATGTCGCTGCGTACCCTGCATTGTCCCACCATACCCTGACTTTCAACATCCGATTTCCGATGTTGTAAAACTAAAATATAAAAGCTAGCTCTTCATTTAAAAAAAAGGAAAAAGAAAAATATAGTCAAACATAGCATACATTTTTATTGGATTGCGATGTTTTGAGGTTTCTTCTATGTGATGTGGTAACTTAATTGGTGGGACAATGCAGGGTACGCAGCGACATATCGTATAGTACCCCGAGGTACTTTCCGATATATCGAACCGTACCCAGGGAACGTACCCTCCGATGGTACCCTGGGGGACATAGACCCTATCAGCATTACTAAGACATGCGTCTAAACACATGCGTCTATTAGTATTACGGTCTAAACAGAGGAATTGCTCCGACTTGTGATTGGAGGATAAAAATAGAATTCATGACGTTTCGTTTTCATTTTGGCATTTAGCCTATGACTCGAGTATGAGCGAAACCGCGCGTATATATTTGCTCATTAATGAAGCTAATAGCCCTTCAAATTCAATAAACTCGAGACTCACAGGGATCATAGCTAGACGTGTCTATAAATTATAATATTAATAGCTAGAATTTATAGAAATGTAACTCAAATCGTTTGCGCCATATGATAGTTAGTACAATTGCCTACTGGCCATAGCCACGCATATATATTATATATTACTATTAGTTTATGAGCAATACCGCGCGTGCATATTTGCTAATTAATTAGACTAATCGCACTTCAATAGACTCAAAATTCACAGAGATTAAGGCTAATTGACATGTGTCTATAATAGCTAGAATTTATAGAAATGTAACTCTAATCGTTCGTGCCATATGATAGTTAGTACACTTTCCTACCGGTCATAGCATAATATAGCACCGTATGCGGCAGGGTATGCTATGCAAAATGAAAACGAAACGTCACAAATTCTATTTTTATCCTCCAATCACAGGTCGGAGCAGTTCCTCTGTTTAGACGCATGTGTCTAAACACACCTGAAGATACAACCAGGCGGGATTTCGAAAAGGAAGGTCCTGCACTGACCAAATCCCCACACTCCGCATTATCATTGAGCAATCGGTTGAATGGGACGCATCTTTGTACATCTTTTTTGGAGACTTTTTAAAAGCTTTCAGCAGTGTGGATAGAACAATTCTATGGAAAATCCTCAAACATGGCATTCCAGATAAAATTATTAGCATAATCAAGAGTATCTATGAAGGCATGACTTGTCAGGTCATCCACTCTGGAAAACTATTAGAAGCCTTCGCAGTTGAATCTGGAATTAGGCAAGGATGCTTACTGTCACCGCTGCTATAGTATTCAGCCTGGTCATTGACTATATTATGAAAAAGAAAATCTATGGCCAGTGCAACGGAATACAATGGACACTTTGGACCCTGCGTGACGACCTCGACTATGCTGATGACCTGGCATTGCTTTCACACACACAACCATATTCAGGCAAAAACAGATAAACAGGTTCAGGAAGCAGCTAAAGTCAGGCTGAAATTCAACATTACGAAGACAAAGTCAATGAGGATAAACGCACAAAATGTGGACGCGGGGGAAAGAAGGACCATCAAAGGGAAAGCAATTGAGGAGGTGGAGACCTTCACATACTTGGGTAGCGCTCTGGACAAAAACGGAGGGGCCGAGTAAGATGTCAAGGACAGAATAGGGAAGGCAACGTGCGCATTCAAATTGCTCAACAAAGTTTGGAAGACAAGCGCCATCGCCCTCAAAACTAAATTGAAAATTTTCAACTCTAATGTTTAGACCGTCCTCATGTATGGCTGTGAAACATGGAAACTAACAGCCAAAATAACCCCAAAAATCCACAACGTTTTGTTAACAAATGCTTGAGGAAGATCCTCAGAATAATTTGGCCTCACACAAATAAAGAACTCTGGGAGAGGACGAAGCAGACCCCAATAGAAAGCCAAATCAGAAGACGGAAATGGGGCTAGGTGAGCAATACTGTGGAAGAAAGCGACTGACATCACATGAACGGCGCTGAGCTGGTACCTGCAATGAAGCGTCGGGTGGGAAGACCCAAAGCAACCTGGAGGCGAGACTCAGAGGCTGAACTCAAGAAGAAGGGTTACACTTGGAGGGAAATGGAGCAGAAGGCAATCAACCGAGCGACATGGAGGAAGTTCACCAATGACCTGTGTCTCCCATGAGACTGAAGGGTCTAACAGCAACAATATTGTTTGTACTTTAGTGGATCCTGCTCTGATTCATGAAACCTAGCTATAACTTATAAGTATCATATTTGTTTGATTTACAAATATTTGCAATTGATTTATTCATTTAAACTTATAGTGTGTACGTGGTTTTGACATAATTTTATTTGACAGTATTACAAGAGACACTTACAAAGCGAGGTGTACTAGGACAGCTTAAGGCACAAATGCGGGCAGAGATATTCCGGTCTCTGGAAGATACAAGTCGGCCACCCCCACGATTGACAGATGAAAACCTGCTTATAAATGAACTGATAAGAGAGTATTTGCTCTTCAACAACTACCGATATACAGAATCGGTGCTTGTGTCAGGTACATGTATATATGCAAAAGTATATGATGTGACCTTTCAAGCTAATTATATCTAACCAAATATGCAAGTAAATGAATTCATCAAGAAAAATGGACGAAGCATAAAATATGTGTCATTTATAAAACATTTATGTAGTGATATCTAATGTTCTAAACCATTGCTTGGTTAGATATGTGATTCTAACTGTAAATTTGTTATTGTATTTCAGAGTCTGGACTTCCAGAGATGCCACTAGACAGGGAGTTGTTGACAAAAACGTTGAATGTGACTCAGTCAGGTGCTTCTAGTCGTGTGTAGGTATTAACTAACCAGAATAAATGACGATGTATTGTTTCTGTTATCCATACCAATTACACCATGAATGGTTCCAGTTAATTCACTTATTAATTAGTGTGAATTACAATATCGTCTAACCTTGGACTACAAATTACTATGTAATAATAACAATCTAATAATAAATATTATAGTCAATACAATCTAATAATATAGAGGAATTGGAAAATAATTTTCCTACGTTCAAATCCTAATACTTTTAACGGCACACATGACACTTGCTGAAATATTTTCAGTTAAAGTAGTTAAATAATGGTACATGAAAAATTTTATTGTTCAATATTTAAGAGGAGAAGGATTGCAATATCTTATAAACCACTCTTAGTTTCAGTTATAATATGGACGAATTTGTTTTAAAATAAAAATCATTCAATTTTAAAACTCGCTGGTTGTTTTATGACAAATGTGAATGCGTGATTATAGAACTTTGTAGGTTTATACTATTATTTATGCACTCACTATCGTAATATATTATGGTATAGTATCATTTTAAGTAAAACTGACATTAATAATCAGATAGGTATCATGAACATGTTCTGTGCAACAAACTGTTCATATCTAATTAGTAAGGAAAATTGGTTGACAGTGAATTACTGCCATACTACCATGAATTACATTTGCAACACATCAGTTTCGAATGAAGTTATTCTTGCAGATATCTGTGGATTCTAAGTGAATTTACAGTTGTTTTTATTACAGCAATTTCTTGAGATGCTTTTTGACTCATGTGCTTAACGTTACACAATCATAAGTTATTCGCTAATTAATGGATTTCTAGGATTTGCACAAATTCTTTTTCTCATGCTTGTGAACACCGTTGTACTTACAGGCCTCTGTTGTATGGCATTTTGTCATACTTTTCGTGTCCGCCCACTGCAGATCGTAACACATTGAATGTAAAGGAAAACCTGCAGACCAGCACTGACCAAGACAGCATCTAAAAGTCTCTGATATGAGCACATTTAGAGTAGAGAATACTCTGTTGAAGAATATTTTAGTACAAAGTTTGTAAAATATGTAAATTGTTTAGCATGTGGCTCTAGTAATTTTTCGTGGTTTTATATGTGAAAAGGTTTAGTCATAGTTGGTGACCAATGCGTTTTTATTCTTTCACATGAAGCACTTGTAAAGCACAGCGGATTTCTAGATGTGCAGACACTTCTTTACCATACACCGTTTACCGTGAAACTAACTGTCAATAAATGGCTTTTATTCAATGATAATTAATTTTTAGTCCTATCCTATGCAGTATGCAATTATCGTGTAGCAATGTATGTATACATCGGCTTGTGTATAGTGGTTGTGATATCTGATAAATGTATTTGGAATGAAGCCCAAAACATCCATTGAGAGGTAGAATAACAAACATGCACTCATATAACGTATAATATCTATAATCAGTTTTAAATTATGTATACATTAGCTGACTGAGAAAACCACAGACAATTGTTAAAATTTCAACAATTGATTGCATTATAATTTACAATCCTGTACATGAGAAATATAGTTATGTTTGTTAAATAAGTCAACAGCTCTACTTTTATGCTTCGAAATGTTATTAGTGATTGTTGAGCATTAAAAATATATAATAAATGAACACTAAACACATCACATTTGAATAATTGTATATGCAGACTAAGTTCCATCTATAATACATTGCCTAGAAAACCATTGAATTTGTGATCGGTTAAATTCGAACACGTCTACAAAAATAGATATAATTTTCCAGCTGAGGGGAACATCCGCATATACAATATTTCTAATGTAAAAATACGTGCATTCACAATTGTGTTAAATATATTTAGGACCATTGGTGTAGCGCACAGCAGAAAATACTTCACTGACAACATACACCCACACAGTCACCAGCCAATAGGGAAAAGCTACAAAAAATATCTGTTATAAAAAAATAAACCAATAATTATTGCACATCTACATTTAGAAAATCCCAAAACGTAAAATAAACCCAAAGTGAGAGACTTTGACTAACGGACTAGCTTCTACTGTCCGGTAGTAAAGGCACGTTTACATGAAGCTGTGCACAATGCCCGCAGTTAGCTAATCTATTGGCTATCAGCAGCAAAAAACAGTGTGAAGCCTCGCTGCTATAAATATACGTCTCACCGGGAACATCTGTCATCACAAGCAAGTTGTCACACTGTGACCCTCTCTCCCCTTATGCCTCCAGTCACAACCACGTAATCACAGTCTGACAGCAACAATCTCATTGCTAAAGCCTAAAGCAGCTGCTTCAATTATCAAAGTGGTTGTGATGTAGACTAAGGGGCCAGGGCTACAGAGACAATACAGCATTCACGTCAAACCGGTAAACCTTGGAGGAATCCTCTTTGTCTTCATTTCCTCGGCCGTATCGCATAGGTTGATATGCGTCAGTATACATCTAATCCGCCGGCAATGGACCACATTACCAACAACTAAATTACCACCTTACTCTTTGACAGTGCAATCTGCCAACATGACCATTGCAAAGCAGACACCAACACTTAATGTTATTAATTACAATTTTCACTGGTACCAGTACTTTTTCGAATGACAAATTCAACGAGGCGTGGCAATCGCATTGATTTCAGGCTATGATTTCAAGTCGCACAGACGAGGTTTAACAGAAGTACGATGCCCGCGCTGCGAGGCGAGGCATGACGAGTGCATTCAAACCATGTTGACTGTGTGTGAATAAAGACACTACGGTTCATCCACATCCCGGAAGATCACGTCCACCTAGTTGTGTCAGTTTTGGCCCAATCCGAAATTTGACATTACCTGTGAAGTAAAACGAGAGTTTGTTAAACATTGGTAACAAACTCTTTTACAGATAATCATGAGCGAAAAGAAAGTGAAAACTGTAAAATCAATCTAAAGATAACATAACATGCCACAAAAGTTCTCAAACAAAACTACTGTCAAATTATCCTCACTGTATTTGTATTCCATCAGCATGTCAACAATTTCATGCCACACTTTACCGTAATGGAATGATCTAGCTAATGTCTGCCACTAGTACCTGTTCATATACGGTCCAAGCCATGGCAGCCATCATTGTTCGCCTCATCGTTCTGGGAATAAGTCCCTTGAAATATCCCTGAATGCCATACACCTGCACAATGCACACCAATTAAAAAAAGAAATTTAGATATTTCTGCAAAATTTTCATTTCCATATCCTCGTCTACACGACGACGCTTAACTCGAGTTAAGCTAACTCGAGTTAGCGATTATGTAGCGTCTACACGACAACACCCGATAGCGATTATTACCGATTTATTATGAATGCGTGCGTATGTAAACGTGCGTGCGTGTGTGTGCGTGCATGCGTGAGTGCGTACACGTGCGTGCGTGCGTGCGTGCGTGCGTGCGTGCGTGCGTGCGTCTGTGTGTGTGCACGTACACGTGCGTGTGTGTGTGCGCGCGTGTGCATGTGCACGTAGACGTGCATGCGTGTGTGCGCGCGTGTGCATGTGCACGTAGACGTGCGTGCGTGCGTGCATGAATGTGTGCGTGCGTGTGCACGTACACGTGCGTGCGTGCACGCGTGGGCCGGTACACGTTCGTCCGTGTGTGCACGCACACGTGCGTGCGTGCGTACGTACACGTGCGTGCATGAGTGTGCACGTATATGTGCGTGCGTGCATGCGTGTGCGTGTACACGTGCGTGCGTACACGTGCGTGCATGCGTGAGTGCGTGCGTGTGCACGTACATGTGCGTGCATGCGTGCGTGCGTGCGTGCGTGCGTACGTACACGTGCGTGCATGCGTGAGTGCGTGCGTGTGCACGTACATGTGCGTGCATGCGTGCGTGCGGGCCTGCGTGCGTGTGCACGTACACGTGCGTGCGTGCGCGCGTGTGCCGGTACACGTTCGTGCGTGTGTGCGTGTGTGCGCGCGTGTGCATGTGCACGTAGACGTATACGTGCGTGCATGAGTGTGTGCGTGCGTGCGTGCGAACTTACACGTGCGTGCATGCGTGCGTGTGTCCGTGTGTGCACGTACACGTGCGTGCGTGCGTGCGCGTGTGTGCAGGTACACGTTCGTGCATGCGTGCGTGCGTGTGCAGGTACATGTGTGTGCATGTGTGCGTGCGTGCGTGCGTGCGTCACGTGTGTGTGCAGGTACACGTGCGTGCATGCGTGCATGCATGTGCACGTAGACGTGCGTGCGTGCATGCGTGCATGTGCACGTACACGTGCGTGCATGAGTGTGCGTGCGTGTGCAAGTACACGTGCGTGCGTGCGTGCGTGTGCACGTACACGTGCGTGCGTGCGTGCGTGTGCACGTACATTGTAATAGTGTTGCCGCCTATCGTGGAGTTATGTACTATTCGCTAACTCGAGTTAAGCGTCTACACGGGGCCTTAACTCGAGTTAGCTTAACCTCGATCGACTGGCGAGGTTAAGCGAACTCGAGTTAAGGCCCCGTGTAGACGCTTAACTCGAGTTAAGCGTCGTCGTGTAGACGAGGCTCATGTGTTGTTTTCTAATTACTCCCCAAACCCTAAAACCATCTTCAAAGCATTTATACAGACCACACGTGCAATCTGCTTGCATGACATGTTGCCTCCTCTATACATGTATGCACATGAACCCATCATGGTTACAGTCATAACTTACACATTATTGAAACGACATCCCTACAATACATCTCGTGAAAAATCTAAATTATGTCTGAATATATTCATACTGGGACAACATTGACTCCAAAAGTTATCACCTTGCCCCCACTCAATTAAGTTGTAATGATGTATATTAATATTCACATATAACTATAAAAGTTTAATGAACAAAATGTTCGCATTGGAATAATATCATATGCCCACATCGCATTTTCTAATGGAATTTGACTTGTCATCTCTTACCCTGTATACGTAGCGAACGACGTGTGTTACGGAGGAAAACCTTCCAGGGAATATCTGTATTTTGGTCTTGATGACGTCTGCAGGTTGGGTGGCGGCGGAGGCCAGAACTCCCGACACTATGCCACAGCTAAAGTGCACCAGGGGCACATACTGGCCCTCCATCGTTTCTAAAATGAAAGTGTCAATGACACTGTATAGCTTACCACAAAAAAGGACACAAATGAGTGAGTGAGAAGAAGTCAGTTTTAATTGAGCAACCATCGATGTACATTATAGAAACGAAGAGTATATATGGGAGAACTCCCATTATATACTCTTGATAATTATGTGTAATTTTTTATGTGAAAATAAATGTTTGAGATGTGAAAGTCTGAGATGTGGGCGAGTGATGGCGTTACACCTAAATGATCGCCATTTAACGTTTTTATAATATTCAGATTTAGGCACTGCCTAAAAGCGGAGCTCCCGATGTGTAACGTGTAAGATTGAGAGGATACGCTTATTTCACGTAGCTGCTATATACCCTGTGAGAATGGTGTTTCCCTGCCCATAACACAACTTTTGTCAAGGGTTAATTGGTTGCATGGAAGTGTTTACTTCGTATGAGTTTTTCTAGGCGGTAGCACACGGTTGCCATCTGTATATCGCAATAATAATTTATAAACCAAAATGAATCACAATTTGTGACGGTAGATGGCGCTATACCCGCTTTGATGTTTCTTAGCGATGGCGTTCGAAATAAATAGGTTATGCTGCGTTCTGACATGTTTTGTAAAACTTTACTCTAATATAGACGTTTTATCGGCAGGGTGGAGAGGAAATACCAATTTTGCATTAAAGATATTGTCAATGAAATCTTGTAAAACGAACCAGAGTGTGACACCACATACTGTTATCTGCGTGTCTATAACATAATATGCTATATAATTGCCAAAACCTACCTAATTTGCATAATTTTTTTTTTAAATATCAAAACCCCTGGCACTTATTCATTCACATACCAAAGATGAGCAAAATTCGTTGAACCTGAACTGACTAATCGCAAGTCCCATTTTTGCCAAAAAATTGCCGTGGCTCAAAAGTACGTCGACTGGCGTGCGCCAAAATAGGACGTTCAATATGGGAGCATAGCAGTAACAACTATACCCAATTTACCCCTGAGTTATCGTTGACCGTAGCCAAATGTTGACGGACGGACGGACGGACAGACGCACGACGACCCATGGCAATAGCTCAGCTTGACGATGTCAAGGTGAGCTAAAAACAGCATAATAAATTAGTACTATTTCCAGGCTGTCACTACTTGTGGAAAAGGGGGTGTGATTGTAAAAGACTAACTAGTAATACTGCCACTGTAGAGGGAGAGAATAACTGTCATTACAGTAAAAATAGGAATCAACTTCGTGCTGAAATTGACGTGCTAACCATGAACAGACTGCAGGTCACAAAGCTACTTCAACTAAAAGTGACAAGCTAACATTAGCTCTCAGCCACAACCTACACATTGTAGAGAGCTGTATTGTAAATTGTTAGTTGTTGGTCTAAGCACCTATTCATACAACATCAACTTGGTTTTTAAGTTTTCTAAATCATTCTTCATCAAAAGATACATACGCTTCGGTACAAGGTTGTGCGTTTGTTTGTAGAACATGAGGTAGAGACCAGAGAACGGGCAGTCTCTAAGCAGAGTAGCGAGTAGGCCACTGTACAGACCCTTCATGCCCTCATGCTTATAGATGTGGTGAAAGGCCTTCTGAATGCTCCCATATTTGTAATGCTGACTCTGCAAACCACAAACACGTAAGACTAGGTACAGGGGTAGAAAATTCACAAGACTGTAGCTTCTGAGAGGGGAAATGTGGGTAGCTAAGGAGACAAGTTGGTAATTCTCCCTCTAGGTTATGCTCTCAGATTGTATAAAAAGGCTAATGAATGTAAATATATATATATTATATATATATATATATCTGCTAGATGTATTCCTGCCACACTGGTCATCTATTAAAATTAGTAGAAGAAGCATACACAGCAATTACACACGTGTGAGTTTGTAAGTAGCAATTATGTGCATTTACTGTTAATTCGTTAAAATTTTAACCAGAAGCAGCCTGCATTTATAGTGCACTTGATGGTAATCGGAGAACCTCACAATGACATGACCGATTGTGAAGATCAAATGCACATACTTGCGAATTTGCACATGTTGAAACTCATGATCGTGAGAACTAGCGTACCTCAAAGCGAGTTTTTAGTACGGTAAATGGCAGCAGCAGTAACACCGCTATGCTCCTTGCTGTTGCTCCAAACATCATACTCTCCAGACCCCCAGAACCTGTGCTTCTGTGATAAAGAAGAATATACATACATATATATATATATATATATATTAATATGTGTAATATATTAACTGTACTGTACTACTAACAGACAAGGTAACAGTTAATGGTTGCATGGTTTAATGTTACTACTAACAATCACGATCATAAAATGCACCAAATCGGCGATATTTCCATACAACCCACATGACAGCTTAGCCGTGTTATCAAAAACAGGAAATCATTCATATCTTGCCTACTCGGCACTTTTACTTCTACAGAACTGACGCTTCGCTGCTTCATCAACATTCAAAATAACAATTAAGCTATTCACGTAGGCCGACGCTAGTGCATGGCTCTGTGGTTTGTTACAAGAGGGTGGAGAGGTAGAGAGAAGGAGCAAGGTTGAGAAGTGCACGTCTTACCCGAAAGCACTCTTGAGACCGTGTAGGGAACAAAAGTATATGCCAACGCCAGGTGCGCATCGAATCAAGGACTGCAACAAAACATGAAAACGTAAGAAATCATCGTTTAGAAATCTACTCACGAGTTACAACCCATCAGTGATATAAGTAGCCCTACAAGGTTCTTCCCAGGAACTTCGGAAGGCATGTTTTTATGGCCAGATATGAGGGGATGGTCTGAGAGGGGGTGTTGTAGTAATTGGAGCCTATAATGTGTGTCATAAACGGCCCTAATATACATGTAATCTTGACCAGTTTAGAGATGCTCTGAAAACACAGCATGACCGTTTTGGGATTGCTAAAAGTAAATGCAGCTGGAAATTTAGTGTGTAGATTAGGCATGTCAGAGGATTCATAGGATGTCGCAAATTAGCTTCAGCTTTTAAGGCATGACAGAGATGACATGCGGTAAAGGCCTGAGAAAACCCCTGCCCTATCCCTACCCTTCTCTTCCTTTCTCCCCTTCCCACCTTTGCTCTCGATCCATCACCTTCAGGGGCGGATCAAGGGCTGAAGCTAGACAGTATTTTTCCAGATTTTAAGGGCACATCCCCCAAAAAGGGCACACCACCCCACAGTGGGCGCCGTCAGGCGCGGAAGCACACGGCGGTGGGTCTGGGGGGCCTCCCCCAGGAAATTTCAAAATTTCAAGGGTACCTGGGCACAAAAATTAGCACCATTTGAGCACACATTTAGTCAAGCAGCAATAGCTAAAAACCATATGGAATTTTATTTCTGCTACATTTTGCCTGCGCTTTGCATACCAGCAATTAATGCAGAATAATGTTACCATGTAAAATTTTGATTTCCTTCAAGTCCTGTCAATGAATCAGTAGAAAAAGAAAACAAAATTTTCGAAGGGCACTTTAAAATCTAGACCGTATTTCCCAATACGGCAAACACGGTCTGAATCCACCCCTGACCTTCTCTGTCCCTCTCGCTCCTAACACTGTGTGCGATGTAAACGTTTAATGAAATGTACCATAAATGCACAATGTAACGTACAGGAGTGAGTCCTTTCCACAGAGCCAGTGGTGACTCATTCTTCACTAGATTGACAACAAACATCACCATGCCAGGATGTACCTGCCTGAAATAAACAATCAATCATCTGTTTTTTACTGCAGTAAAAATATTAAAAAACCAATAAACTGATGTTTTATATTCTGAAACTCATATAAATATGCACCATGGCATATATATGTATGTACATATATGTATATATATCGATGAGTATACATGCATGTACACAAACCCGTTTTAGTAATTACCACTACAGAATGAACATAGATCTGTCTACCAACACTTTTGGCATTTCCATTGAATAATCGTTATACATAGGTTCGACTGTATACTAATGAAAAAATACAGTGTACGCAGGAGGCGGCACTCACCCGACAGTCGCTGGTGCTTGGATCCTCGTCTTGACCAAGTCTAGCGGCTGGAAAATGATTGTGGAGCATGTCCCACTAAATGCTCCAACTACGAACGACTGTACCATAGGGTGCTGCAAGTCAAGATGCATCAATTTTGATCAAGATAGAGGCAATGACTACTGATAAAACTTCCAATGAACAAAAAAAACATGTAGAAGCCAAACCTCCTTATCTATTCACATCCTCTACCCTTGTAGTATTAGCTTTCATTGCACTGTTGAGATATTACATTGCCATCGATATTTAGCCATTTTAATGAACACGCAATACTCAGTACACATACTTTTTACTACTTCTTTTTATTACTACACTTTCTTACTTTTGGCTGGTTCATGCTTTTACCTTCTATCTCTGTTAATTTGTGCATGCAGTCAAAGACTAGTGATCGTATTGAAACTTACTACGCTGGACTGAACCTTGACAGCATCGGAAGCTGTTGCTATGCTTGAGCTAGCCCAGGTATGGGTGGCCATGTCCTCAGTGCTGCTCCGCAGATCTCTCTATCACCAGCCACACTCGATGCTAGGAATCCATCCTTGCTGCTTGGGTCTGCACGTATAGCAAAGTCCTGTTTCTCTCACGGTTTGCAGAATAGCGAGGAGCAGCAGCTTACGGTGGTGACCGCCATGCTGGCATTGAAGATCAGCATTTTAGCTTGCTGCAATACGAGGCCAGTGCATTACCACCTCACGCTGACCCCCACCCTCACATCGATGGGCTACTGCTGGATCAGCCGCCCCCTCCAATATATGACTGTGATAAATTTGTGTAGCCAGAGCAGGTAGGCTGGGCTGCTACGTTATTCCGTTGCCTTGCACCTACCTTCGACCGGCAGCGCCGCAAATTGGGTTATCGGTGAGCTCCCAGTGCAGTCTATCAACAGAAATAAACAGATCGATATTAGTGAATGTTTTAGTGCCTTTATAAACATATTGATCACTGCCCCCGCAGGCAATCATGCTGTCAGCTCAACTGAACCACGGGCTGGCTAAAACTCCTGAACAATATGCAGGTCATGTATAGCCTGCAGCCAGCTACAGGGCGGCTTATCGATGCAGGCAACACTGCAAAAAATAGTGGTTTATCCAGTCCTGAAATTGTCCTGTGCCTAATGGGCAAGTAACCTTGAACTAGACACCAAATTTTAACATATATAGGTACCTCATATAACAGAGTATGTCCCTATTGAACATACGTATCAACGTGGGAATATTATAGGGTTTGAAAGTCAAAAACAATAAGAAAGACCACCTATCACTAGTGCCCCTTCTACCATAGCCACATTGAAGGCCACTGAAGATTGGGCAAACGTATGTTGCATGTTTTACTGGTTTCTAACTGACATTATACAACATGGTTAGGCCATAATAAAAATATTGTTTGTTTGCCCTCACCCGACCGACCCGCCAAAAAGGGGCCGACTTCCCATTCCTATTCTTTTTTTTTGACAAATTGTATTACTACGTTATATAAATCTGTAGGCAATACATTATATGTACCAAGCAGAACGAACATAAAAGGTATCTCCACACAAGCACACCCGAGCATGTAGACACCATACTGAATTTGTAAAAAGACCCCCCCCCCCACAAAAAAGAAGCCTACCTACCTACCCAAACTTTTCAGCCTGGGTCAGGTGAGGGCAAACAAAGATTTTTTTTAATTGTGGCCTTAGGGTCATATGACTAGAGCAACAGATCGAGGGCATGGGTTAGCTAGCATTCGACCATGAAAGATTCAGGATTTAGATGCAAATACCAAATTCCATCGAGGTATATCTTGTTTAACTGGCTTCATGCAGGCTCTTTGCACCCTGTACGAAAATAGCACACGTCACTATATATACCTACGCAGTACGTTGCAAAAGCATGCCATGTGCAGACACAAGGCTCGTGATTTGCACGTGGCAACTCAGCTGCTAATGCTATATTGCTGCTTATTCGTTGGACTTGAAGTCTCATGAGTACAGTGATGATGAAGAATGTAAACTATGTATATAACTTCCTGCTTATAATCCACACGCAGCCAATACTGTCTCGGGAAATGACGAGATATACGAGTACAGCTTTACCGTAGTATTGAGAGCTAAACTAGATATAAATAATATTTAAAAAGTTAAAAAGTTAAAAATTGATAACAATTCAATAGACAGATAGATGGTGGTGCGTACAGATTAACATGACGTACGTGTGAATCCATGGTGTATACCAATAACGGCGCAGTGGCCTAATCGCTAGAACATCCGTCTACACCGGGATTCCGGGTTCGAATCCCACCTCGGGAAATACTTTGTTTCTTTACTTTTGAATTGTTTAGTATGTACTTCTGCCACTGTTCTTCACCGTTAATTTCAAAATTTTAAATTTTTTACTACATTTAAACGTTTAGTGAAATTCCAGAATAAACTATGGTAGATGATAATAATAGCGCAAACTGACGGGAACACTTCACGGAAGCCTAGGTAGGTTACAGATCAAATATTATTATATTTTTTATATTATTTTATTTTATTATTTTCTCTTTTTGACTTTTTTATTTTTATCTTTTGATTTCTTATTATTTTTTACAGTTTGGGATGGGATGGGATAGCATGGGATGGCATGCGATGGGATGTCATGGCATGGGATGCGATATGGGATGGGATGGGATGGGCTATGGCATGGAATGGGATGGATGCATGGATAGATAGATAGTTAGATTTTTTTGGTATTTTCTTTTCAACCAAGCCATCACCAACTGAGTAACGCCACTGATTTCCCCGGGCCCAACAAGACAGATAGATGGCGGTGCGTACAGATTAACATGACGTACGTGTGAATCCATGGTGTATACGTATAGTCCAACCCTAACTCTGAATCCAACAAGAGTAGGGTTACATTATTGTATCTACACTATCACGTACAATCCTTGCTACTGCAGCAGACACTAGCTCTAGTACTATATACTATAGCCCGCGTACAGTTGCCGCAGGCCGCCGCAGTTATAGCAGTTATAACTGTACGCGGGTTATAGCACTAGAGCTGAGCAGACACCAGCTGGCAGTCTTGCACTGTATTGTAGCTCGAAAAACAGTCATGAACATGCAAGGACAAGACTGTGGTGACTTATTTATTTATATTTATACGCTCCTTTGGGAAACGTTAATTCTTACCTTATTTTTGTTTAGTGCACAATACGCTAAATCGTGCATGGCCGATACACGTTATTATCGTTATATATGTTATCAACAATATAAATTTATATACATGCACGGAATATATTATTATACCATTGCCAAATCGACTTCCAGATTATATCATTTTATCAATCAGTTTATCTAAGCAAAAGTGACAGCGATAATCACAGAATTGTGTCAACACGGGCATAATACAACAGCATGCATGCATACAGGCGTGTAGGCCCCTACGGCTACACCATGCACACAACATGCAATTCCAAGTTGTTCAAAATCATGTACACGAATATGATGCCAAAACTGGTGCTGCAGGGATCGAGGGAACCAAAGGCAACTGGGGGTGTCAAATAGGATTTGGCCACTATAACTAACTATACGCAGTCAACTACATGGAGAAAATGTGTACAAGGGGAGGGACGAACCGAGGATAAAAAGATAGCCGAGGCAGCGTTTGATCAGTACATGTATAACTAACTATAAACACTCGGTCACTAGGTCGGGTCGAATACGCCTAGCTCTATCACTAACGGTGACAGAAATACATATGATGTAGTATCTTGTTCCGTGAGCGGAGCATGCATAACGTTAAACCACACCGTGCACGACAATCTAACACATACACTTACCTTATCACGCGTTGAACGGTTCAACACCAGCAATATCGTTGCTGTGTTTCTGGGAACACAACCAAGAAGGAAGGAATTCCCTCCTACTACAGCTCGCTACTCTACTACAGCTTATGATCGAGGTACCACGTGAACAACACGTGAAAGTAGGCCCCTCGCCAACCCTGTGCGGCAGAACCAGACTACCTAGAACCAGAGTGAGTCGAACATCCGATCAGCGGCTAAAAACGACATTGCCGCGATAGCGCGCGTGTTTACAGCAGTGGTTTACAGCGATGTTGGTGCTCTCAGGGGCGGATTCAGACCGTATTTGCCGTATTACTAAATACGGTCTAGATTTCAAAGTGCCCTTCGAAATTTTGCGCTAAAAAATACAGAAAACAATTTGATGGAATTTGGCTATATTCTTTATTTGTTTTCTTTTTCATCTGATTCATTGACAGGACCTGAAGGAAATCAAAATTTTACATGGTAACAAAACTAGCTTTGATATCTAAAAAAAAAGGGAAGTGCTTGAATCATTCTGCATTAACTGCTGGTATGCAAAGCGCAGGCAAAATGATGCAGAAATAAAATTCTATATGGTTTTTAGCTATTGCTGCTTTTTTCTGCTAATTTTTGTGCCCAGGATCCCTTGAAATTTTGAAATTTCCTCCCTGGCCTCCCCCAGACCCCCGCCATGTGCTTCCGCGCCTAACGCCGCCGACTGTGAGGTAGTGTGCCCTTTTTGGGGGATGTGCCTTTAAAATCTGGCAAAATACTGCCTAGCTTAATTCAGCCCTGGATCCGCCGCTGGCTCTAGCATACGTAGCCAAAGGGCTGTGCGCAGGAACAGGATCAGCGGACCTGTTGCCAATAAATATAATAAAATAATAAATAATATTAGATAATATTTGTGTCAATAATAATAAAATGAATAAACAAAAATTGCATGGTTTGCGTTTTTCATCAACTTTGGTCTCTCTCCGTTTTCGATACGTCCCCTAGACTGACATATAAGTAAATAAACAAATTAAGAATGGCATAGCAATCGAAAAAGTCATGATGAGTAACACACTCACCATGATTTGGGGCGCGCCCGACGGATGATGAGGCAACCCGATAAATTTATTTTTATTTTATTTTTATATATACAATTATTTTTTAGCCATGCAAGATCATGTTTTCGGGCGCGTCCGACGGATGATGAGGCATCCCGATCAATTTATTTTTATTTTATTTTTATATACAATTATTTTTTAGCCATGCAAGATCATGTTTTCGGGCGCGTCCGACGGATGATGAGGCATCCCGATCAATTTATTTTTAG